CAGTCACAGCTTTGCAGGAGAGAAAATAATTTTGCACGGAGACAGACAATCTAAAGGTTTCGGGCTTTAACTCTCATAGACTCTAAAGAACATGACCAATGAATTGTCTACTTATGACATAATAGATATTTCTTCTCTTACAAACACCATCAGATCTAGCTTAGCACTGCCAACAGTCTGAGATCAGTTCCAGAGTATTGCAGGAAATTTAAAAAGAATTGATGGTTCCCATGATCCTGCCAGCAAATCAACCTGAAGTTCGAGGAAATGAGCACATGGAACTACTGAAACAGCCATAGGTTGTTGGCCCTGTTCGTTAGTTACAAGTACAAGATGCTAATTCTGGTGATGCTGCTACAGAAATGGAGGGACTTCATATTTAGCAAAAGCCTTCTTTCAAGATGAATACATTAGTTTGAAAGCTATGCATGTCAGCCTCTGCAATTTTTGTGGAAAAGGAGAAGAAAAGGAGAAGAACATTTTTAGGGGTCTGGGCATCAGTTGCCTTGCTGGGATGGGCCTGATTCTGGAAAGGGACAGAGGTCTGTCCCACCCTGCCAGCAATTGTTGTTCAGCATTGCCACAACTGTTGAGTAAGATTTGAACTTCCTGCGAACAGAGCTGGCTGCAGGATTGAAGCTAAATGAACGCTTGGCTGTGCTGGGTTTTGCAAAGGAGTCCCTGAGATGGTCTGGGCCTGCGAGGCAGTGTAGAAAATGTCAGTGATTATCATTAATCGTTCCTTGATGTTGCCTCTGACTTTATGTGTCAAGCACCACAGTTCATAATAAGCAATTGCCCTTGTAAAAATGTTCCCATCAGTGCGTCAAGGAGCGCGGAAAACATCTTGGCTTATGATTGAGGAAAGGGCCAACCGTTGCCCAAAGGAGAGGAGACAAATAAGTGATGATTGGGATGTGGACACTTCTGAGGCCAAGCAGTGTTCCTATAACTTTCTAGTACTGTAGATGGCACACACACACGTTCCCTGAAATAGAAAATTCAGGGGGAAATTCAAGAGGACAAAGACTTCTGCCCCTTTCGGTGGTCCTGAAGACTATGAAATGTTAGAGTCAGGGCTCTAATCTGCAGTAAATTTTTCTTCCCTCCCAGTTGGTTGGGCTGCTTTAAGGAGACCCTATGAGGAAGCTGAAACAAAAGTAAGTTTAGCATCCTGGTAACCAATCAGGAGCAGCCCAGAAGGTATAGAATAGAATAGAATAGAATAGAATAGAATAGAACTGGAAGGGACCTTGGAGGTCTTCTAGTCCAGCCCTCTGCTCTAGCAGGAAAATCTATATCAGTGATGGCAAACCTATGGCACGCGTGCCAGAGGCGGCACTCGGAGTCCTCTCTGTGGGCACATGTACTGTTGCCCCAGTCTCACCTCCCCCTGTGACCCCCTCACCAGCAGCCCCCCTGGAGGAGAGTTGCCCCCCAAGCGTGGCCCACGCGGAGCAGAGCAGCCAAGGACATGATAGCCAGGCAGCGTGGACAAGACTCTGCCTCACACCCCATCATGCACAGTTGATGCTGCGGGGTGCGGGTAGAGGGCGTGGCCACCATTGGTGCTGCTGGGCTGCCTGGGCGATCTGCAGTGGGCCCTGGAGGCGGTGAGTGGCCCTGCGGGCAGGCAGGGTGGGGGACGGGGTGGGGGTGGAGCAGGGGTGGGGCAGGGGGTGGAGCGGGAGCGGGGCCAGTTTTTGGGCACTCGGTCTCTAAAAGGTTCACCATCACTGACCTATATCGTCTCAGACAGGTGAATGTCTAGCCTCTTCTTAAAAATCTCCAGTGATGGAGCACCCACGATTTCTGGAGGCAAAGCTGTTCCACTGGTTGATTGTCCTCGCTGTTAGGAAGTTTCTTCTTAATTCCAGGTTGCTTCTCTCTTTGATCAGTTTCCAACCATTGTTTCTCATCCTTCCCTTTGCTGCTCTGGTGAACAACCTGGCCCCCTCTTCTTTGTGGCAGCCCCTCAGATACTGGAAGACTGCTATCATGTCTCCCCTATTTCTTTTTTTCCTCTAGATTAGCCAAACCCAAGTCCTGCAGCCATTCTTCGTATGTTTTAGTCTCCAGGCCTTGGATCATCTTAGTTGCTCTTCTCTGAAGTGTCATGTTCCACACTGGTTTTGCAAGAAGTGTGTAGTGAGGGATGGAGGGATGGATGGAGGAGCTGGTGCTTCAGCTTCAAGAGAGAGCCTGGCAAGACACTTGGAAGTTCTGATTTTTTCGGGGTGGTGGTGTCCTTCAGACAGGCTCAGATCCGAGCAGTGTGTATAGGGAGAATTCTCCTTTCATTTATCGTAGATCAGCAGTAAACAAACAATTTATTTCCTTTCTAGTATTTATAAACTGTCCAATAAGTGGAGATTTGCATAGCTCACACAAAGAAAACATGATTATCTCTAACTCACATTAACACAATCCATAGCAACAGGAGCAGCAGCAATAAGAATTAGAAGGTCTAAGAAGATGACCCCCCCCAACCTGTTAATATAAAATGGGTATTGGAACCTCCTGAAATTTTAGATGGGGGGTGGGATCAAGCACAACCAGAGGCTGCATGTCCCAGAGTGTGATGGTTACTGCAAATATTGTAAATGTTAGCTTTAGCCCCTGCAGATGTTCCTTCTCCCTCTTTCCTTCCTTCCTTCCTTCCTTCCTTCCTTCCTTCCTTCCCTCCCCTCCCCTCCCTTCACCTCCCTCCCTCCCTCCCTTCCTCATGCTCCCTCCATCCTCCCTCCATCCTCCCTCCATCGCTACACGCTTCTTGCAAAACCAGCGTGGCACATGACAACTTTCTGGGCTGCTCCTGATTGGTTAGCAAGACTTGGTTCCCGGGATGCTAAACTTTCTTTTGTTCCAGCTTCCTCGTAGGGTCTCCTTAAAGCAGCCCAACCAACTGGGAGGGAGGAAAAATTTACTGCAGATTAGAGCCCTCCCATTCTTTTAGCCTGGATATAAATTTCATTGGTAATACATTAAGAAAAGGATCTGAGGATTTGTTCCGGTTGAAATGCTATCGCTCTGGGCAGTTTGACTGAAACGATAATCAAGTAAAAAGCCAAGTACAATAAATTAATGTATTTTAACCAGGGAGGCTGGGCAGCCCCCCCCCAAAAAAATAGATTTCCTTTTTGAAGCATCTGTTTGTGGCTGTAATGAGAATGTGAGAGAGGAGGAGCAGCTACAAGGGAAAGGAAAAAACGTTTAACCTTGTGTGTTCAACATTTAGATAGCACATCTCATTTCTGATGGGCTTATAGCATGTGCAAACACTGATAAGGCCCTGTGTGAAATTGACATCTCAGTCCAAACTGCCTGCTGGCAATTTTTTTTTTTTTTTAAGAAGGAAGGGGGGAAAAGAAGAGGGAGAACATTTCTGGCATGTAGATAAAGGCGCTGTCTCAGCTGTATGATAGAACTTTTCATCTCTGGAAGGATATCTGAAGAAAAGAAATGTCTGCTTGCTAAGTTAGGACAGAAAAAATACACGCCGGACTGTCTTCCCATCCACAGATTTGGTGGGTGGGGGGATAACAACAGGAAAAAGGGAAATACAAATTAGATTGGATGCATGGAACTTTAATAAAAAGCTATAATAATAATAATAACAACAACAACAACAAAACAATAATAATGCTATAATAAAGCAATAACAATAATACTATCATGTCTCCCCTAGTCCTTTTTTGATGTCTAGTTTAATGAAAAGAAGAACTAGGGGAGACATGATAGCAGTCTTCCAATATCTGAGGGGCTGCCACAAAGAAGAGGGAGTCAAGCTATTCTCCAAAGTGTCTGAATGCAGGACAAGAAGCAATGGATGGAAACTAACCAAGGAGAGAAGCAACCTAGAACTAAGGAGGAATTTCTAACAGTGAGAACAATTAATCAGTGGAATGGCTTGCCTCCAGAAGTTGTGGGTGTTCCAACACTGGAAGTTTTGAAGAAAAGACTGGACAGCTACTTGTCTGAAATCGTATAAGGCAGTGGTGGAATTCAGCTGGTTTGCACCACTTCGGCAGAACCGGTAGCTAATTTTTCGTTGCCCAGGCCCAGAATGAACATGGAGAACCGATTGTTCACCTATTTGAATCCCACCACGGGTATAAGGTCTCCTGCTTGAGCAGGGGGTTGGACTAGAAGACCTCTTCCAGTCTTCCAACTCTGTTATTCTATGTTCTAATATTTCCAACTGAATTTTTCCAAGGTAGGATTTGAGCTAACCATGTGTTGCTGGCACTTCTAAAATCCTGAATCCAAAATGTCAATCGTTCTTCATGAATTCACGTTGTTTTTGAGGAATTCTAAGCCACAAACTTTCCCATCTTCCTTGGCATTCTTAGGACATAAATACTATCACCTGCCCACCCAAGAGGATTACTTCTCATGCCATTTTAATCCTTTCCTGGAAAGTCACCCTAATTCCTATGATATTGAAAGACCCCTGCTGAATGATTGTTGAGAAACTGGGTCTGTAAACATGTTTTCATCCCTTTCAACATTTATCTCACTCTGAGACTAAGGGAAATTTTCTAATGGCTGCTTAAAACACTTAGAAGCCTGGTGTATGTTTGAAATCCTTCTGTCCATCCCAGCTGAACTATAATTTGGAAGTTCTCTCTCAAGAGGTAGCCAAAGATAATGTTCTCCTTAATCCCCATGAATGCTTGCTTTTCAAGAATGGTGAAGATAAATGAGATAGGTCTCCTGCTGACTCTCCAGAAGACATCTTAAAAGTGGGATCTTGTAACCTCTCCAGAGAAGATCTTCCTGGTGTTGTCTTCCATAACCAGCCAACCTTGCTCTCTGCTTGCTTGCAGCTCCATTTCCAATAGAATGGAACTGCCATGCAAATCTCCAGTGCACGTTTGGCAAAAGCCCTTCTCCTCCACTGCTAATTGGAAGCCTATGATGTGGTAAGAAAGCAAAGAGCCTGAGCGATGATCTCTTTGGAGCTAAGTAGGTCTTTTAAATGAAGCCAGATGGCTACATCAGCCTGGAAGGGGCTCCGCGTCCATCACCAGCAGCAGCAAAGGCTGGGCCCAGCCTTCCAATTTTCTCTGCAAGCCTTTGACAGCTGCTCCCGGGAAATTATGCCTGTGCAACGTGTAGGGCTAAAGAGGGAACAGGAGAAACCGAGTCTCTGCCTTTTTCATTAGTGATAAACACAAGCTCCCTTTGTCTTCGAAAGCAATTTCATAGCTGATGCACAAACACGAGGGCCATCAAAGCAAGGCGGGGAGAGAGACAATAGCAAGGAGAGACATGCTCACCGACAGAGGCGCATTTCCATTTTGATAACAATGCTCGGGCTGCCTGTTGCACACCCCGTGCCATGCTTTGCACCCCTCCCACCCCTCACGCTCACCCAGGTGCAGATATATTTTATTTCCCTCTTTTCTTCCCACGTCAGCCAGAGGAATTGAGACAGGCCAAACCCACAAAAGAATCGAGCCCTCCTCCCTGACAGATGCTGAGCCTGTCCCATCTGATAGGCTTAGCTTGATTTATATCGGATAGATCTTTCAGCTTTTAGATCAGGAAGAGCAAGGGGCTTTGTTTCTCTCCATTCTCCATCTTTTGTTCTTTGCTCATTAGGACTGCTCTTGCAGCACGGCAGGATGGAGAACGGGCTGGGTTGCTGTCAGGCACGAAGAACCAGGCCTACCCGTGTAGAATTCAAACTAGCTACTTTATTGTTTACTGCCAATAATACAGGAATCTCTCCAGACTTGGCAGCTTTTGCTCGGGAAAGAGTAGAAAAGGCTAAAAGGCATTCAGGGGGAGGGGAGGGTCAGGCCTTGCCCTCTTGTGTTTAGCAATAGCACATAGACTTATATACCGCTTCACAGTGCTTTACAGCCCTCTCTAAGCAGTTTACAGAGTCAGCCTGTTGCGCCCAACAATCTGGGTCCTCATTTTACCCACCTCGGAAGGATGGAAGGATGAGTCAACCTTGAGCCAGTCAGGATCGAACTGCTGGCAGTGGGCATCCAGAGTTAGCCTGCAGTACTGCATTCTAACCACTGTGCCACCAGGGTTCTACATAGTCCAAGCTAATTCCCTGCTTGAACCCTCCTCCTAACTGGGAAGGTTACCCTCTTGCTGCTGCCAACTGATTGAATTGGCCCTTTTATGCTTCAGAGTGGAGCTTCTGCAGATGACCAGGGCTTCGGTCCTCCAGCCGCCTGCTTTTAGCTCCTACCAGTTCTCTGTGGGGTGAGAGACTGGAACACCATTTTTAAAAACAGGCATAAGACCACCAATAGCAATGTTGCTGGATAGGAAGATAAAGCAAATGAGTGTGGTTTGCTTAACATAAACCAAGGTTTACTTCTAGTACAAGAGGTGATGCCAAGCATTCTTAGAGAAGGAATATGTGTTGTAAGGGGTGCTTGCAAGCACAAGCATGAATCTTTTGTGAAAATTAGCTGGTTTCTCCCCTCTTTGTGTCCACAGGAACTTCCTTCTCCTTCTACCTTTGACCCAATGCTATACAGGTAGCCCTTGACTTAAAACAGTTCATTTAGTGACTATTCAAAGTTACAATGGCACTGAAAAAAGTGATTTATGATCGTTTTTCACACTTACGACCATTGCAGCATCCCCAGGATCACATGATCAAATTCAGACACTTGGTAACTGGTTCATATTTATGATGTTTGCAGTGTCCCAGAGTTACGTAATCCCATTTTCTGACCTTCTGACAAGCAAAGTCAATGGGGAAGCCGGATTTACTTAACAACCGTGTTACTAAGTCAACAATCCCAGGGATTTATTTAACAAAGTCATAAAATGGGGCAAATCTCACTCAACAAATGTCTCACTTAGCAAGAGCTAAATCCCCCCCCACCCCATCTGTGCTTCTGAGATATCCTTCTGGTTGATTACACCCCAATTTTCCCACCCAGTTGCATGTATTTTGTTAAAGCAGGAATTAGTGGACCATTAAAGAAAACAGTTGGAAAATCCAGAGCTGCAAAGTAAGCATTCTGCTGCTAGACGCTTTAAAAAAAAATGAACATTTAATTTGGGAATTTGATGATTTAGGATCATACAAATGCTGTATATTATTGTTGGTTTTGGAGTTAAGAGGTTGGTGCATTTTGTATCTGTATCCATACTGAAGAAAGTTGGAAGTTATTCTTTCTTCTCTGTTTCCCTCTCTTTCTTTCTCTTTGCAAGCCTGATTTTGCTTTTTTAAAAACTTTTTTGGCTTTTTTTTTTTGTATTTTATCCGTTGCTGAAACTTAATAAAAATGTTGATCAGCAAGGTAAACATACTGTATGCTATGCAATTTGTGTGCCTCCTTCAATATAATGCGACCTTTCTTTCCTATGCGACCTTTCTTCAGAAACAACTTAGCTATGCTTTATTTAAATCCAACTATCTATGTGTTATCAGCTTTCCCAAAGGTATGAATTTTTATCCACCTTCCCTGAATGTACACTGATTTTTGTATGCACAGTTTTAGCTGGGAAGAACGGAATATCAGTGATGCCCACTCATAGATGCCCATGCCATATGATAACTCCATTCTGATGGAAGATGGCACTTTGACATAAGAGAAATCTGTGATGAATTTCCTCTACATTCTTAACTGCGAGTCTATCTCCATACTTAAGCTGTACTATCAACTTAATCTGCCAGCCTGCAAACTTTGTTTCCTAGTGTTTATAAGGTCAAGATGTCCTCAAGACAACTTGATTCCTGGTGATTACATAAACATTTCCATGCAGTTTTCACAAGTGTTCAAAATAGGTTTGACATCACCTTCAGAATAACAGAGCTGGGAGGGACCTTGGAGGTCTTCTAGTCCAACCCCCCTGCTCAAGCAGGAGAGTCTATACTATTTCAGGTAAATGGCTGTCCAATCTTTTCTTAAAAACCTCCAGTGATGGAGCACCCACATCTTCTGGAGGCAAGCCGTTCCATTGATGAATTGTTCTCACTGTCAGGAAATTTCTCCTTAATTCTAGGTTGGTTCCTTGATTCCTTGATTATTTTCCATCTGTTGCTTCTTGTCTTGCCTTCTGATGCTATGGAGAATAGGTTGACCCCCCCTCTTCTTTATATGAGCCCCTCAAATAATGGAACACTGGTATCATGTCGCCCCTAATCCTTCTTTTCACTAGATGAGACATACCCAATTCCTGCAACTGTTCTTCATATGTTTTAGCCTCCAATCCCGTAATCATCTTTGTTGCTCTTCTCCGCACTTTCCAGAGTCTCTACATCTTTTTTATAATATGGGGCCCCTTTCATGTTGTAAAGCTTTTTGGGGATGGGAGGGATGGAGAAAAATAAACCTAAGAATGCACCTGCCCTGAAGAAGGAGAGGAAATCATATTTTGGCTGTGGTTTGTCCTCCAAGCTTATTTTAATTTAATCCCTGAACGTTTTGTTACCAAACTATGTAACATCAACAGCAGGATGTTCTTGTCCTATTCTCTTTAGCCCATAAGCTTCTGGTTGTGCCAGTGTGGTTGGTTTTTTTGAGCTACATTTGAACTCCAAGCAGCTGTTTGGAAGACTCTTATAAGCTAAAGAGAACAGGACAAGCAAATGTTGCTGCTATGTTTCCTAGTTTGGTGATGAAACGTTCAGGGATTATATTAAAATAAGCTTGGAGAACAAACCACAGCCAGCATTAAAACCCAAACTAGAAATATTTCCCGTTATTTCAGAGGAAATAATATTTCCAATCAGGAGAAAATGTGCAGATTCACTGCATAGCAGAGCAGAATTAAAGATGGGGATGCCAAATAAATTAGAGTGTTGTAGGTCACCGAGCAGAAATTTCATGATGGCTGAGTCTCTGACAAAAGTTAAAATGTGGAATAAAGACAAATAATCACAAGGATCCAGAATCAGTGACCAGAAACGAAGACATCACAGGCTGAGGCTGGGAAGCAGAAGAACTATCTGCCTGTAATCAGTGCTCAGTGGTCAAATGAAAAGCAAAGTGCTGAGCATCCTAAGTAGAGACATCATGGACGGGAAATGGCGTTGACAGCCTTTTCCAGTAAAATTAATAGAGCCAAAGGCTTTGTCAAGAGAGGAACCCTTTCAGGGAGAAGACAGAAGGGTCTCCAAAGCCAGGAAGATATGTTGAAGGTGACAGTGGAAATGGTGGACTTATGGGATTCTTTGAAACATCTAGCAATTCTGTTTTTCTGTTGCCATCTCAGAATTGATTCTGATGTCTCCAGAAGAGCACAGGAAAACTTCCACTGCTACCTCAAAAAGCATCATGGGCTTAAGGGTTGAGGGATGCATCTCAACACCTGCTCAAATTGCCTGCCTGAAAACCCCATGCCTCTGGATAATGCCTTATGGATGGATGGATGGCCTTATGGTTACAGTCCCTACTCTCCTTCCTCCTAAAGATAGAATAACAGAATAACAGAGTTGGAAGGGAGTTTGGAGGTCTTCTAGTCCAGGGGTTCCCAACCAGGGGTGTCTGCACCCCCTGGGGGTATGAGACAATATTCCAGGGGGTGCAAAAACTTGGGTTTTCAAAATTATAGTGTATATGCATAATAAGTTGCCATTATTTCGAACTTTTATAAGGGGTGCAAGAATATATCAGAAGCGTTCTAGGGGTGCAGGGTATGCAAAAGGTTGGGAACCACGGTTCTAGTCCAACCTCCTGCTCAGGCAAGAAACCCTATACAGTTTCAGACAAATGGTTGCCCAATCTCTTCTTAAAAACCTCCAGTGTTGGAGAAACCAGAACTTCTGGAGGCAAGTTATTCCACTGATTAATTGTTCTTACTGTCAGGAAATTCCTCCTTAGTTGTAGGTTGCTTCTCTCCTTGATTAGTTTCCCTCCATTGTTTCTTGTCCTGCCTTCATGTGCTTTGGAGAATAGGTTGACCCCCTCTTCTTTGTGGCAGATAAGTATGGGAACAGGTCATCCATGCATGCATGTAGTTCTCAGATGCTTTGAAAGTACCATGCAAGAACAGTTCTTGAACACTGGGTTTCAGACCGCATAATCAGAGAGATTGAGTTGCTGGTTATTTTAATCCAACAGCTCAGATTTAGTATTGATGTCTTGCTCTGCATATACTTTGTTGTTTCTCCTCCTCCTCCTCTTCCTCTTCCTCT